GGGGGGGGGGGGGGGGGGGGGTGTTAATGAGCATCAAGCAGTTTCTTCTTCTGGCTGGATTTCCTTTTGCTTATGACTTCACTTAACCCTTTTTTGTTTACACTAAAGGAACTGCGGTCTGAGGTGGAACTGGAAGTATTAGGGGACACAGAAGGACTCAACCTGTCTTTCACAGCTATCTGTAACAATGGCGTCCTCTTCCCACACCAAAAGAAATGCTCCCATATGAAAGTCGGAGACACAGTAAGTAGATCCCCAATAGATCTTTAGAAACAACAATTAGATGGGCCGGAGGCTGCTGGCTAGCTCAGCTTGCGGTAGCCGGGCTTCTTGGCAAAGCCAGTCTCAAATCCTGCAGGTTACTGGATGGAGGAAGCAGATAACCAGCATTTTCTTTTCCAGGCATCTTTCAATGTGACTGTGAGCATCTCCAACTGCGAGAAACGAAGCAGGAACCTTATCATAAAGCCAGTAGGGCTGAGGGACACCTTGGAAATACTCGTCAGTGCAGAATGTGACTGTGACTGCCAGAGAGAAGTAGAAGCCAACAGTTCTAAGTGCCACAACGGGAATGGCTCCTTCCAGTGTGGGGTGTGTGCCTGCAACCCTGGCCACATGGGTCCTCACTGCGAGTGCGGTGAGGATACGGTGAGCACGGATTCCTGCAAGGAGTCTCCGGATCACCCCTCATGCAGCGGAAGGGGTGACTGCTATTGTGGGCAGTGTGTCTGCCACTTGTCTCCCTACGGAAGCATCTACGGACCTTATTGCCAGTGCGACAACTTCTCCTGTCTGAGACACAAAGGCCTACTCTGTGGAGGTAGGCTATGGGCTTCTCCGGGCTTCCTACCTCTTATGCCGCAGCTGTTTGGGGCTTTTTGTTTTTCGTTTCTTCTTCACATTCCTGGACTTAGCAGTTGCTCCTTAAGTATTTGCTGGTGGCTTCAGCAGGCGAATCATTAGAACTGGAGTAACTGGACTGCATTTGTTGTCGTTTCTAACATTCCTGTGGGGTCAGAGCTCTGTCAACTGTTTATGTTATATTTAAATTTCACTCTTCCTTCAAGTTAAGTAGATAAAAGTTGGAATGTTGCCTCTCTAGTTTTCACCCGGATTCCACAAAACCACCTATGATCTGAATTCCACTGTCTGTCAGAACTTTTCTACATCAAGTTGTTGGATCTGACCCGATTCTTGCATCTTTTATGTTGGAAAAAAGAAGCTAATAGAGATTGCCAAAGGAACAGAAGCAAGGAGAAGGCACAGAGATACTGAGTAGATCTGAAAGCCTTCTCATCTCAGATTCTCAGATTCTCAGATATTCTCTCTCTCTCTCTCTCTCTCTCTCTCTCTCTCTCTCTCTCTCTCTCTCTC